TTCCCATTAATATTGCACAAGAGTTCTCAATGGGTGGAGAAAAAATCCATTCAAATTAAATGACAATTGTAATTCTACAAATAAAGATATCCACTCTAAGTAAGCAACTAATAATCACAAAGTTAAAATAAAGTAAAAATGAGTTTGAATCATGGTAAGAGATAGAAAACTTTTATTCTGTGTTGGGTTCAATGAACTTTTGTGAATGTTGAAGCTATGTTTCCATCAATTTCTTAGCATTGAGCACCTTTAAGGAGAATGTGAGAGAGAATATGAAAGCCAAACACATCCAGTCCCAGAGTTAAGAATTCTGTGGATCCAGGGTTCAAGAAGTAAGGAGTACAAAAGCTGAAACCATCAGAGTGGGATCTCATGATCCGATCATCAAAATATATTCTTGTCAGCATCACTGCTGGTATTAAAGGACAATTTTTCCAAGTGGTTTCAGAAACAGGTTTCTCCACTGTCATTTTGTAATAGATGGATTCCATCACAGGAAACAACTACCCTGTATTCCAGTGGACAGGAAAAATAATAATAGAGGAATAAAGGAGGGAAAGAGAACTGGTGTGGCCAAAGAGATGAAGAATAACTGAAAACAGCAATTAACAATGGGGATAACTTACCTTCAGCTGCATCACAGAGATGTGGAGCGAGGGCTATGGGAAGGGAAAGAGCATGGAAGAATACTACAAGACTTGTTTATATTGTTGAACAAGTTTGTTTAGTAGATGGATAAGTACCAATATTATAATCCTACATGCAGGATTGTTTATTTTGAACAGATGACCATATGAGAAGCATTGTCCATCTCTAGAGCCACATACTCATTAGACAAAACTAAACATGCAAATACACCGATGCTCTTACAGGTAAAAGAAACATGAATTTTGATTTAATTTGTGTTGCAACAGCACCTTGCTATTCAAATGGAAATCAGAGTCTCACAGTGCTGTGTTAGCTGATATATATAGAAAGGAAAATAGTGGAGAGGGTGAGGAGGGCTGACAAAATGCACTAAAAATACCACTTTCCACTAATGCATTCTTTGGCAATGCACCAAGGTTAATACTAATATTCTGCCAAAAGTCAAAGGGTCCCAAGTCCTCATTACTATTTGAAATGATATTGAGTTAATGTGCCTAATTCTCACTTCTCACTGATTTTATGCTGGCTTTAGGACCAATGAAGTATAAATGGTTTGCTTTATCTCTGTCCTCTGGGAGATGCCTTGCTGGTTCCCACTTTCTAGAGTGCTTCCTACCAGGTTCTTACCCCAGCCCATAATGTTACATTTATCGCTATAGCTATACAAAAGTATCTTTAAGGTTCTTAAAAGCATCTAGTGGCTTGGATTTACTTGAAGCACTTTTGGGATACTTGATCACCCAGCAGTGGTTGTTGAGCTCATGTAAACTTTAACACTTCAAAAGTTCAGCAATATAAAAGCTGCTGTCAACCGGGCATGTTTAATTGCAGGCACACAAAATCAATAATTGTTTCTGAAAATTCAGAACACATTTGACATTTCAAATAGAAAGGCAAGCTGATTTAATTTTATTATTTCCACATACGAAGTTTTATTTAATTTTGTAGTGTGTTAGATGAAACTGCTCTCTTCCCAAATTAGAACTGATAAAAGCATTAATTTCTGTAAATTAAATCACTTTCAGAGATCAGAAGTTGCTCAGCCTCTCACAGAAAGACTGGGTGCAGTTATGTAAGACAAGCATGTTGATTCATACCAATTATGCTATGCATTACTTGGAAAAGTCTTCACAGATTTTCCCCAAAACCAAATTTAAATGTGGGAAAGAGGTTCCTGTGTGATCTGAAACAATAATTCTGTTGTAAGGCTGTCAAAATTCCCATGTTTGAGGAGTGAATGAGCAATGTCCTGAAACACCAATCCTAGCTATTCTTTATTTCTCTCCTGCTGAACATAACAGGGTACAAGCCCAGTGGCTAATAGGTCATTTTATTTCACTCCATTCTTGCACCTCCCATTATATAACAGCATTAGAATAGATTTACTTTTGGTCATGCTTTAATTTTAAGGGCAGTGATGCATAACTACATTGTTTCCAGTTATCAGATCTCTCTGTGAAGTCTAGAACAGAATAGTGTTGATAAGTCCTGGAAAAACTGCTAGACCTGTATTGCTTTCTGAAGGTATGATTACTTCTTGTGCCACAGAAGTAGGCAGAGCTGGTTAATTTATTTCTTATACACCTGTGACTTATTTGAAGTCCCAAACTCTCATCCAAGAAAAATCTCTCACTACCTTCTTCAAAGGGAACCGACTGCTCATGATGTATAGCTCTTCCTTTTTCCTTCGATCATCTAGATGTCTTCCTGTCATAACCATTCCCCTAACTTCATCTTTTTCTTCTCTGACAAGGTCCAAAACTCCTTTCATGCTGTTTTTCCTCACCATTTCACTTTCTACTGCATTCACTTCCCTTGCAGGTACAAACACATCGTTTCTTGTTTGTTCAGAAAAGAAACCTGCAAGTCCACCTGCTTCTCCACCTTTCTTTGTCAGAGGCTAAGGGCTCCTTTCCCATCCCCTCTATCACTCCACCCACATCAGTTTCCAGTCCTCTTCCACTCTGCTTCCTCCCTAAGAAATTTTTCCTGAAAAGGACTTCTGTAGACATTTACCAAACTATGCCCTTTGAGTTACACCTCCAAGAGTCATCTCCCCCTGATGTAAAACTAAGAACTGCCAATTTAAAAGGTATTTAACCTTATGAAGATTATGCAGAAAGAATTCCCTGCTGTTTTTCACAGTACTTATCAAAGATAAAGAGATCTTTGGGACAGGGTCAGTGACATCACATTAAGGATTATCCTAGAAGATCAATTAGCAGGTATTTGAACTAGGGAAGACGACTACGTTTAGGGGATTTTTTGTTTTGTGGTGTTGGTTTTGGTTTTTTTCGGGGGGGGGGGGGGGGGGGATGGGGGGTTGGGTTTTTCCCCCAACAGTCCCAGGGTGCCACAGAGTACTTTGATCAGTATCTTGAAACTTACTCTTCCAGGCATCACTCTCTTCAAGTCCAAACTTCCCTTTGCTGTTGTTTGGGTGAAGGGAACCTTTCAGAAGAGAGTCCCTCTCTTCCTCCCCCTGGACGGGATTTGGTGCTTCGGGCCGGCCGCCCCCTCCAGCGAGAGCCCTGTTCCCTGGGCGCTTCCTGCCCCCGGAGTCCAGGCGCGAATCCCTCGGGAACTCGCCTTCCCCCGGCGCCGAGGGGGCCGGGAGAGCGCCGGTGAGTCACGGCGGGTCCCGCGGGACTCCGTGCCCCGCCGCGGCGCCCAGCCCAGCCCAGCCCAGCCCAGCCCCGCTCCGCTGGCCCGGGGCAGCGCCCGGCGCTGTTCGGCAGCCGCGGTCCCGCTCGGGGCACGCAGGGCTGCGGCTCCGCGGCGTGCGGCACTGCCGGCCTGGCACGGCTCTGCTTCTCTCGGCTTGCTCCCCCGGGACGGACAGCCCAAGCACAAGCGCACGGACTAGCAGCGGCCACCCCATGCCTTCCCTCGCTCAGCCAAACCACCCTTGCAGATGTTCTCAGGTTCGGTGCTGCTCGGGGGAGTGTGATCTCTCACCCCTGTGTAAACGGGACTTGCTGGCATCTCCCGCCTGCAGCTAGACGTGCAGCGATTGGGGAGAGCAAGAGTTACCCCTCCATAAGCTGCTTTTGCCCCTGATTCCGGTTTAACTTAGAGCAAGAGCGAAGGAGCGCCTGCTCCCCGTTAGCAGGAGCTCTAGTCACCGCACGTGAGACACGACAGCGCTTGGGAAGGGACACTGGTTAAAAAAACCCCAAACTAACACCCCCACTTCCCCCAGGAGAAACAAGCCAGCAGCTCTCTCTCCTTCCTGGTGGCAAGGGAGCACCCGCTGGCGCAGAGGATCGATTGCAGAGCCCTCTGGCTCCGAGTACGGGGAGCGTAGTGCTTCGCTCTCCTGCCAGCTCCCAGAAAAGTTTGGTTACCCCGACCTGCGTGCGCATGGAAAACGAGGGAACTCGAGTCCCGAAGGAACGAGGAGTTCCGGGAACAGCTAAGTACTACAAGAACTATAGTAGATACACCACAATTTCGGGGGTAGCACTCTATACTGCACCGACACCCAGCATCCAGCCGAGTGCGGGTGTGCCCAGCTCGGCGCATCAGGGAACAATAGGCTCCATCGACGGGGGAGCCGGAGGGGCTGCAGGATCCGCACGCCGCGGGACGTGCGCGACTCAGGGCCAGGAGGCAAATCAGAGAAGTTGGTGAGAAACTACAGAGTTTTGTAGTTTGAAACACGTTGTAACCAGCCCGACAGAGATGAGGAGATGAAGCCAGTACGTTTAGCAAGTATTAACCGCAGAGCAACATTCTAGCACACACAAGGAAAAAGTGTAGACACGATTCAAAGACAACACCGCACTTTATTTGTTGCATTCCGGTTGAAGGATATGCGATGAGGAAACAAGAAGGCGATTTCGTGAAGACTACCGTGAACTCTGATGCGGGCTCCAGAGAGCGGGCTGAGCCGCTTCCCCACGCATGCACAGCACCGTATCTTTAGGACTCTTGAGCAAGTTTTAAAAGCTCCTCCTTCACTCCTCCGACGGCATTGGGCAGGCTTTTTGTCGCCGGATGGCACCGATTCCCCTCCTCGGGAGCTCCATAGAGACCACATAATGCCTCATTAGGAACCACTGAAGGACCTGCGTTCCCGGACGGAGGGCAGCATGAAGCCCGAGGGGAGCGCAGAGGCGGTGCGCTGGGAAAGGCGACTGAGCGCCTGGGGGTCCCTGCACACACTACAGGGCAAGAACCCACGGATGGGGGCTCTGCCACCCCGCCTTCAGCGGGCGGCCCGCACGGACTCGGCAAGCGGGCTGGACTCCTCAGGACAGCTGGAAGCGAGGACCAGGATAGCGGCGGGACTCCGGGCGCTCGCTGCTCCCAGCCACCGCCGGGGCAGGGTGCGGGGGTCAAGCCCTTACCTGAGTTCCGAAGCTTGCGGTTCTTGAAGACGGAGAGGATGACCAGGAGGTTGCCCAGGATGTCCACCACGGTGGTGAAGATCAGCACGCTGGACAGCACCGGCACCACCCAGGCGGGCCGCGGGGCGCCCGCCGCCGCCGCCTCCCGTTCCGCCAAGCCCAGGCGGCCGCGCCCGCCCGGGTCACAGCAGTTCCTCAGGGAGCCGTTCTCCAGCATCGCGGCCACTCCGTCCCGGCGCCTCCCCGCGGTGACCGGCGGCGGCCCCGCGGACTGCCCGCGCGGGCGGGCGGGAACGGCTTTAAGGGGCGCGCCGGGCGCTGCTCCGCCGGCAGGGGCGGGGATGGGGCGGTGCCAGAGCCCCCTCCCCTTTCGCGGGCGGTGGGGGAAGCCCGGGGGCGGGCCCAGCCCCGCCTGCCGGGGGAGGGAGGCGGTGGCCGGCGGGAGCGGCGGCGCGGAGCGGGAGCGGGAGCGGCGGGGGCTGCCGGGGCGGGCGCAGCATCCGCGGGTAGCGGAGGCAGCCGCGCTCGGCCATTCCCGGTGACAGCTTGCGTGGCCGGAGAGCCGCGGGGACAGGCGAGGGCGGCGGAGAAGCCCCTGTCCCCAAAACGCTGCTCCTGCCCCAGGGCTCAGCCGCGGACATCCGCCATCCGCCGCCGGGAGAGCGCTTGTTCGGGGATTGTTTGTGATTTGGTTCTGGGGAGTTGGTTTGGTTGTTGTTTCCCTGCCCCGCGGCTCGGACCGCGGTGTTCCCGGCAGCGCAAGGCCAGCGCTCCCCCCGCCGCTCTCGCCGCCAGGCACACGGTGCCCAGACGAGTGTTCCTGGCACATTCCCTCCTGTCGGCCTGGCAGCAGATCTGAAGGGGTCGTACCCTGCCTTCGCCGTGGCCTTGTGCCTCGCGTTTGAACACAGCGGTCAGGTCGAGACTGAGGGCAGCGCCCGTGGGGCCGTAGCTGCGAGCGCCACGGACGGGACGTGCCCGCACCCATGTCGGCTTCGGAAGCCGGGCGCGTTCCGCGGGATTTTCCCTCCAAGCTGCAGGGCCGACAGAAGGGCACCGACGGGCTTCACTCTGCAATTACGCTTGAAACATCTCTTTTCCTTTGGGCCCCTCAAAGTGACAGCTGCCATATGCTCATTTGCATTAAATAAACAAGCGAGAGGCGTGCGGCAGGGAGGGCACAGCCCGCCTGTCGCCGTGCCTGGCTGGCGGCGTGGCACAGCCGCCACGTGCCGCTGGCACCGTGACACCGCGCTCGCACAGCGGGCACTGGCAATTAGCGCTGCTCTCAGCAGACGTAACTCGGGAGGGTTTCGTGCCCTACTTCACATTGTTTTCACGCCATCCAGGTCACGCTGTATGGTTGTCCTGCTTTCAGAGGAAGGTATGCCCCTCAGGTTTTCGAGAATTAGATCCTGAGGTAACCTGCCTTCTGGCGTTAGTTTGAAAAAACAGGACAAGTTCCTGTCTTTTCTAACGGTAAATAACTTATTGTGGCTCATTGCTTCTTTGAGGCTTAACGTGCACTGGTGTAATCAAAATGCTAAAGATTACTTTGTGGGCTTTTTTTTTTTTTTTTAAAGAAATAGTTTATAGTTCAGTTTAAAATCTTAGTCAATTTTAGATAAACTGAAGTAGTCCTGGTTGGAGTGAACATAGAATTGTGCATGTGGGCTTTTGTGCCAGTCTTATTTACACTGATTTAAAAAAAAGAAAACAACCCTACTTCAGATGCTTTCTGTTTAACGTAGGCAAAATGTAAGGCAACATGGTCCTTTTCAAACTACAGCTGGAGTTATCACAGCTTCATAGCTTGGACCAAAGAAGAACCTTCTTCTGAGAATTGTCACTCCTAAATAGTTATTTTGCAGTTCTAACATAGGAAACTAATAACTGCAACTTGACAGGACAGGCTCATTCTTGATAGAAGTGAGAGTTCACTTGATTTTCCTTTTTCTTTCTCCAGAAGTTGAAAAGGTAGCTGATCCAAGGAAATGCCTGTTTTCTGTATTCATCAGTGCAAAGGAGGATTTTTCCCTAATGAATCTTTAAGAATAGTTTAAGAATAATTGTTGTGTTACAGTGTTTCCCTTTATCTGCCTCTGTTCCAATTTCCCCTCTCAGAAAGTTGTTATTCTCTCTGCCCATTATCTATGTACTACTCTAGACTTATGGACTTGTTATGGGAAACTTACACACATTATCATTTATTTTCATGCCTGAGGCTCTTTCTGGGCATCTTTCCAGAATCTGTGTAAGTGCTTTCAGGAGAGCTGTACCATTTTGTTGTCTGTCATTACTACAGGATTTATCTTTAACTGTTTGTCGAAAGCTTAAACTGCCCCTGAGCATAAATGTGGCTTTTCAAGGTAGGCTTTGTTCCTGGCATTATCCAGGTTTGCAGTTTGTCCCCACAAGAGGAACAATGTATTTCTCCCTGTCACACACAATTGTTATGTATCATTGCTCACTTCATTTAATAACTCCCAAAAGTGTACCAAGTGATTTAGAGAAAAATTAGAAAGCTATGGCCTGAGCTTGGCCTGAAGTATGAGAATGCCACAAAATGTGAAACATAGTGAGTGTTCTGGCTTTGGAACAAGAGTCTGACTTCTGTGGATGCACTGGCATTTGACAGTAGAAAAACAGGCAGGTAGGAATAAAACTGGTACCTTTCCTGCCTCAGCAACCTGCAAAGAGCATGTTCTTTATCTGCTCTGAATTTCCACTCTCTTCATTAGTATCAGTAACATAGATGGGAATAATTATTTAGTGTTGTCTGTCAAAGGATAAATTATAAATGTTAATCTTATTTGCTTTGTAAAATGATTGATTAAAATGCATTATACAATCTGTGGATGATCTTACTCAGCTTTTTAGCAGCCTTATTTCCAATGAACCAAATTCTCTTTGAAAGTGAAATAGGTATTTAAATCCTATTGATTGTTGCAGTTGTTATAAAACAACTTGTTGCAGAAAGCTCTCCATCTCAAAGGAAGAGATATATTCTTCACAGTTGGATTGTTAAGACCTTTATATTTTTAATTTTGGGAAAATTTTCTTCTATGTCTAGGAAAATTAGCCATGTCTTGTGTTTCTTTTTGAAAGCAATCTAAAGTTTTCTAAAGGCAAGCTCTATTTGTTTTGCAGGGTAAGACCAGGAATTGCCTGAATGGTGGAGCAATCAAATATTCCCTGCATTGCTCTGCTGCCTGAGGCTAAACTCTCTTGTTTGTCTTATTATTTTTTTTTAATTTTTTCCCCTGTTCATTCTAAAGACAAATGACTGCTTTCTGGAGATACATTCAAGCACTTTGTTCTCTGTGATTTGTTGATTTGACTTTCTGAATCTGTACTTGGTCACAGAAGTCAAAACTTTTCAGGAGCACAAATGAAATTTCAGGACAGAGGATCCCTTTGGCAAAATCTCTTGAATTTCAGGTATTCCACAGAAGAAGAAATTATATTTCCTCTATGTTTGTTATTTCAGTACACATTTCTGCAAAACCAAGGGACACCTAGAGCTAAAATGCAGTTTCCATATAGTGTTCCTACTTTTAACGATCTCAGTTTGAGTTGACTGTTCTCACTGTGTACACCATGGTAGGGGCTGGAGTCCTTATACCTTTTATACCTCTTCCATTTCTATACAGTTTGGGGTTTTTTTAATACAAGTCTATATTTTTAAGTCAACTTAAGCCCACTGTTTAAATGAAAGTCTCTGTTTTTGTCCACTGCTGTCATGAGCCTGTACAAAAGGGTATATCTTCTCTGATCAAGAAGGATCTTTCTGTAGGAACAGAAGATGCACTTATCAACACTTTCTGGTCTGGGTTTCATCTTTTCCAATGAATGTTAATACTTTTAATGTAGAAATCAAAGCCTTAGTTAGAGGAATTTTATTTTGTTGTCCATAATTTTCCAACCCCTTTTTACCTGCTGGAAATTGTCCATAAAATGAGATCTGCCATCCCAATCCCAATAATTTATTGTTGTTTTTGTCACACTGAATTTCCATGGCACAGAAGAAGATCCTTTTGTGGTGAATTTTCAGTGAAAAGACCCATTTTTGAAGCTTTAATCAATAGACTGGACAAAACAGAGATGTGGAGTGGGAAGGGATTTAGGTTGAGTACATCTCAACCTAAGGGGGAGGGAGAAGTTGAGATCAGCTTCCCAAGGATTGTGAACATTTATTGTCCTGTAGTCATTGGATGGGTGTGGGAAGCAGGTGGAATAGATAACCTTGTGTAGTAAACCCCATAAATTTGGGAAAAGCACCATGGAGAATATGAACAATAGGAATGCTGAAACAGCAAAAGTAAATTCCTGTTTCCCTGACCTCCGCCCCATAACCTATCTCTGTAACCTTATAAGGCCATGTTACTTTAACCCTTACTATTGGTCAATTATGGATACCCCTAAACCCTTACCATTGGTTAAGTTTGGATTCTATCCAACCCAATCAAAAGGGTGTACTGTACCCCCTTTGAGAGAAGAAGAGCTGTCGCTGGGACCCTTTGCAGACTTCCCCAATAAAGCCATCTCTGTGGAACCAGCCAGCGCCTCTCCTTCTCCTCTCTCTGCCATCTGCTGCAGCCTCAAGCCAAGGGCAAACTTACCTAGCAGGCAAGAGCTGAAATCCTAAGAGCTTGCAATCACTATAAGAGCTGACAGCTACCAAGCTTGCTATGGGGTTGGGCCCATGGTGATTCAGTCTGAGCTAGCTAGCGTCGGGCTCCTGAGCTATATTGCTCTGCATATTAATAAGGCCAAATCAGAGGCTTTATTAACCTTGTGCATGTCTTTCTTCTGAAACTGAAGAGGAGCTTTGAGGACTAGCTTAGACTAGGTATTGCAGTGTGAGATGATTAAAGGGGAGGATTGCTTGGGGAAGATTATTCCAAGGGTTATCGCAGGACTAAAGCTCCACGTCAGATCTCTTGATTAGGACTCAGTGTCAAATTTCAAAACATTTCAAAGCCATCCTGTCTCTAAACGTTCTCTCCTATTCCACCTTTGCCACTCTTTAGTGTAAGTGGTTATATGTATATATGTACTTTGTGTACAATATATGTACGCACACACTCTGTGTATATCACAAGCTGCTGTTGCTATTCCTTTCCTGGGACTGTTCTGCCAATTTGAGTTGTGTTTTCCTAATATATAACCACAAGCTGGAGTGGAAGAAACTGATTTTCATTCATGACCTCAACT